CGTCATCTACCCTAATTACCCAATCCCCTTGCATCAGCGTTGGTCCCTTCTTCAGTACGGGGATCCAGGATTCCAGGCCAGCGGGATGGCCTCTTGGAGTTCTTGTAGGCCGTCCTCAATGTTTCTGATGTTGGCCAGCTCGGGTTGGAGCTCCTGTACTGCGTACCATGAATTGGTTTGGTTGTTCCACAAGACTTAGTCCCTGATTGTGTACAGTCCCTTCTTTGCCCACTAGAGCCACCGTGAGTGGTTGTGTAAAGAGAAAGGGTTACCATTGTGGTCCATGAGGTACTGGTTGTCGAACAAGGGCTGTCTCCATATTTCATCTCATCTCAACGGTGTTGGTCTTTGAGATAGGCCTTGTTGTGACGAACCATCTTCTGAAACCGCGCGACTTTCTGCGCGAAGCTGCCTTGGGGAAATGGATGGGTCGGATGGATGAGCTGTGGAAAGATGGGTCGGTCGGGCAAATTGCATGGATGCCCTCGTTTCTTTCTGTTTTCTGAGGAAATCTGTCGGGTCGGTTTCGAGAAAGTCCCCCGCCAACGATTGGGTAACCGCGCCTTAACGAGCGTGATGGCCAACGGTTGCCATGGCTTCTTTCTTGTTCTGCTGTGAGCGCTAGGAAACTTTGGCGCGATCATCGCGCGGGAATATTATTTTTTTGTTTTGGAATTTTCGACTGATGTCAACCCCCCACAGGCTAGCGGAATTATTTTTGGGGCTCTTCGGAATTTGCTTTTGCAACTAGGACTTAGGCTAGGAATTTAGGCACTCTGAATTTTGTTGCACCGCGCTTGCACGCATCTTGCTGCGCGGCGAACTGGGCTCTGATTGGATCGCGCCCTTAATCTTGTGCAACTGTCGTTTTTGGCGGGCGTGATTGTAACTGTATCTTTCTTCTTTCTTGATTTCATCATGTTTGTCCGCCTTCTTCTTCTTTGTCTTGCATGTTTAATGCTCCGTTCTAATTGGCCTGAATGCCTGCATGACCGGATCGATGTGTGGAGTGCGGCTACGACCCCCACGCCGCGACCTGGCCATGCAGACGTAGGCACTTCCTCTCTTCTCCTTCTGACCACTTGGGCTTAATCCCGTATCTTTCGCGCAAGCATGCATGCTATAAATTTCGCAAGCGCGATTAGTTTGCTCTCTATGAACCTTGGAGTTAGCGCGATCAGTGAGGGTTAGCTAACGAGTCAGCTGGAAGAGGTGAGTGGACGAGAGAGTTGGGCGATCCGACGAGCTGGTGTCGGGTATGCGGGGTTGACGTGCGGGCCGCGACGGACTGTGGCGCACGGGCGAACCTGGTTTGCATGCTCGAACCAAGCGGGGTGAAAACTCTGTGTTGATGCGCGGCGACAGACTACGCATCGGGGAGTGTAGAGAGAGAGAGAGAGAGAGAGAGAGAGAGAGAGAGAGAGAGAGAGAGAGAGAGAGAGAGAGAGAGAGAGAGAGNGAGAGAGAGAGAGAGAGAGAGAGAGAGAGAGAGAGAGAGAGAGAGAGAGAGAGAGAGAGAGAGAGAGAGAGAGAGAGAGAGAGAGAAAGAAAGCGAGAAAGCAGTTGTGTGAGGGATGAGGTATCTTCTTCCAATCATCTGTATAATTTTGATTTCTATTTTGGCCGATCTTGTTGCGGCCCTCCCGGACCTTCTTCGTAAATCGTTTCAGATTTTCCTTGTTGTCTTTGCTTCGTGTGTATGCATGAAATGGATGTGAACCCTTTTTGAGTGATCTTTTCATTTTTTTTTTGCTTAATTAACTCGTCACTTTCTAGTAGCCATCTGCATTGATAATCCAAGGTCTGATTGAAAGCACTCACTGTGGATATTTTGGGTTTGATTGTTAGCCTTTGATCGTCATCAGATCCCCAGGAGAGTTGTGATGCCAGGACGATTGCCCCCTCGCCCCCTCCTCTCTCTTCCCTTTCGTCACATGAATGGTAGGAGTGTGAATGTAATGACTGGATCTCACCCGAAACAGCATGGGTAGGATAGTTGCATGCGGGAAGGGCACAATCGATACACCAACACAAGAAATCCAAGCCTGACCCACTCTCGTTCGTGGGTCCCTTCTTCAGTACGGGGATCCAGGCCAGTGGGATGGCCTCTTGGAGTTCGTGTAGGTCGTCCTCAATGTTTCTGATGTTGGCCAGCTTGGGTTGGAGCTCTTGTACTGCGTACCATGAATAACTATATAACCTTTTGAACGCGGTGAACGCGCGTTCGCGTTCAAATGTGCGTTTGAACGCGGATTGCGCGTTCGCGTTCAAAAATTGAACGACGTTCAATTTTTGTTTATTTTTTTCAAAAAATATTTTCGATGCCTAAAAATATTATTTTTTTTCGGATTTTTTTTTTGTGAGTTCTATATGATGTGGGATACATGTCTGTAAATTTTGGAGTCATTTTGCCAAGGGACAAAACAAAGAAAAATCGCCAAAGATGGCGGTGTCGAATCATGTTCGCCCACTAATTTCAATTCTTTTTTTACTTTTTTTCTATTTTCTGTTCTCTATTTTTATTTCGAATTTGATAGCGAATTTGAATGTGATTCTCAGGCAAAAGTTGTTTATCTTATTTTTCTTCATAACATATTTTTGTTTCGGAATTTTTAGAGAACTTTTTTTTTTTTTTTTTTTCCCTGCGCGGAATTGAACTCTACGTTCGGTCGCGTTCACTGAACGAGCGTTCATTCCGTTCAATTTTTGAACGGAAAACCCACGTTCAATGAACGCGCGGTAACATAGCATGAATTGGTTTGGTTGTTCCATAAGACTTAGTCCCTGATTGTGTACAGTCTCTTCTTTGCCTAGTAGAGCCACCGTGAGTGGTTGTGTAAAGAGAAAGGTTTCCATTGTGGCCTATGAGGTACCGGTTGCCGAACAAGGGCTGTCTCCATATTTCATCCCATCTCAGCGATGTTGGTCTTTGAGATAGGCCTCGTTCTCTCAAGAGCCTGAGGAACGAGATCCATAGTGGATCTGTCCTAAGGTCCCATTTTGCGGCCGATGTGGGTGTGTTATTGCATCGTGTGTTAGGGGGGCGTGGGAGAGTCCAGTGTTTATAGGTCAGCCGTTGTATCGGGTGCACTTGGGCATCGTTCTCAGTTTGTGGGGTTTTTGGGTTGATTATTCCTAGCCCCCCTTTGGCGAGTGGTTGTGTTATGACATCCCATGCCACTCTTTTGAAGCAGTCAGTTTGCTTGTGGTCTCCGCGCTAGAGGTATGCTGCAGCGGCTCGTCTCAGTCTTGTGAGCAGTTTACGGTTCAACTGCCAAAATGCCACTTTTACCAGATTGCCGCAAAGATTGCATTGTTTATCGCGCGCGCCCTACCCACCAATGATGTGCGGGTCGTTTTCCATGTCCCCATGTGGCGGACCACCATATCGACTAGTTTGCCATCGTGGTCTTGTGACGCCCAACCTCACGCCCAACGCGACTTCCTGAGTGGAGTGGGAGTGGGCCTCGAAGTGCGAAAAAGGGGTGTGCCAAGGATTTTTGGAAAGTGGGGGTGGAGTCCCAGGTCGAAACTGAGATCTTCTATGACAAGTTTCAGGGATGCGAATGCAGAAGGATAGGTGAGGATCGTAGTCTTACCTTATGCTTAGGAAAGCGGGGCTACCACCTCCATTGGTTTCGTCGTCTGGGTCAGACTCATATCTGGTGGACCGTCAGGACGCTATAGCTATCTCGTCGGTTGATCATCTGTCGACGCCGAATGTCGCAGGCCTCGGAGTCGGACGCGGCCGGTCTCAGCCGAAGGCTGTGTGCCCGTCACTCCTCCTCCGAGCGAGTTCGCCGGATGAAGCCGGAGGCTCGGTACTTGTGATCTTGCAGGCACTCCAAGCACGGAGGGATGGGGCCAGTAGGGGGCGATTGCTGGCCAGAGGACGATGGTCAAGGAGTGATAAAGCAGGATGTGGTGGTAGGGAGGAAACTCGGGCTCTAAGATAATGATCCCGGGTTCCTCGACGACGTGACACGTGTATGGGCTAAAGTAGTTGGGGAGATGGGAGATTCGTCCCAAGGCCCGGTCGAGATCCCACTCGCAAATACGTTCAGTCCCGGTTAAGTAAGAGAAGTTTGGCAGGCCCGCCCTCGATCGGGCTGGCGAGCATGAGCGTTCTCAATATCCCCGGAATTCCCGATCTCTCAAACACTCCCGGTCGGTGACACGAAAAAGGATTTTGAAATTCGTATTATAGCTACATTACCAGCTGTCCGATTGGGAGACGTCTCCCCCGCACGTCTCCGGGAGACGGTCGAGGGGGAGTTGTCCGAAAAATCGGACAACGGCTTTTTTGCCACGTGGAAAAAAATAAAAATAAAAATAAAAATGGGGGTGATCTGCGCACTGCCAGGGGACCCCCCAAAAAAAATTGGGGCCATTCCGAGCAAAAACAGAAAAAAAAATAGAAACAGGCTTTGGGGTGTGGGGGGGAGTGGGGTTGATTGATTGATTGATTGATTGAAAAAAGAGTGGGGAGGGCCGGCGGAGTGATCGGGACGCCAATCACTTTGGCCCCCTCCCACTCCTCCTCCTCCTCCTCCTCCTCCTCCTCCATCGTCGGGGCCGCCTCCTACTCATTCTCCTCCCCATCCTCGTCATATCTCCTTCTCCACCTCCTCCCCCGTTGCCACCGCCGCCGTCACCGCCTCTTCCCTTCACCCCCGTCGGGGCCTCCTCCTCCTCCTCCTTCGTCGTCGTCCTCCTCTTCGTCTTCCTCCTCGTCCCGCCAATCCCTGTCCCCCTACTCGTCGTTCTCCTCCCAATCCTCACCGAATCGATAATGGTCTCCTCCTCCCCCACTTTTTTTTTTCTTTTTTTTGTCCGATCAATCAATCAATCAATCAATCGAAGATCCCATCGAATCGATTGATTCGATATGATCTTGACATCGAATCAATCGATTCGATGAGATCTTTCATCAATCGATTGATTGATTGATTGATTGATTGATTGATTGATTGATTGATTGATTGATTGATTGATTGATTGATTGATTGATTGATTGATTGAAAAAAAAGCGGGGAGGGCCGGCGGAGTGATCGGGTGGCCAATCATTTTGGCCCCCTCCCACTCCTCCTCCTCCTCCTCTTCCTCCGCCTCCTCCTCCTCCACCATCGCTGGGGTCTCCTCCTACTCATTCTCCTCCCCATCCTCGTCATCTCTCCTCCTCCACCTCCTCCTCCGCTGCCACCGCCGCCGCCGCCGCTGCCGCCTCTTCGCCCGACATTTCCGTCGGGGCCTCCTCGTACTCCTTGTCCTCCTCTTCTTCTTCTCCTTCTTCCTCCTCCTCCTCCTCCGCCTCTTCTTCTTCTTCCTCCTCCTCCGTCGCCGTGGCCTCCTCCTCCTCTTCCACCATCGTCGGGCCCACCTCCTCTTCTTCCTCCTCCTCTTCTTCCTTCTCCTCTTTTTTCTCATCCTGTTCTTCCTCATCCTCTTCCCACTCCTCGTCCTCCTCCTCCTCTTCTTCTTCCTCCTAAGTTTTTTCCCTCCTCCTCCATCGTCGTGACCTCCTCCTTCTCCACCTCTTCTTCCTCCTCCTCCGCCTCCTCCTCCTCCTCCTCCCCCTCGTCCTCCATCGTCGGTGCCTCCTCCTCCTTCGTCGTCCTCCTCCTCTTTGTCTTCCTCCTCGTCCTTCTCCATCGCAGCGGCCTCCTCCTCCCCAGCTTCTTCTTCTTCTTCCTCCTCGTCCCGCCAATCCTTGTCCCCCTACTCGTCTTTTCTTTTTGTTAACGACCTCCTCCTTCCCCGTTTTTTATTTTTGTTTATTTTGGTCCGATCAATCATTCAATCATTCAATCAATCAATCAATCAAATCAATCGATCAATCGATTGATCGAAGAATCCATCGAATCGATTGATTCGATAGGATCTTGATATGTCAAGATCCTATCGAACCAATCGATTCGATGGGATCTTAGATCAATCGATTGACTGACTGATTGATTGATTGATTGATTGATTGATTGATTGATTGATTGATTGATTGATTGATTGATTGATTGATTGATTGATTGATTGATTGATTGATTGANTGATTGATTGATTGATTGATTGATTGATTGATTGATTGATTGATTGATTGATTGATTGATTGATTGATTGATTGATTGATTGATTGATTGATTGAAAAAAAAATGGATTAAAAAAAAAAAAAAAAAGCGGGGGAGGAGGTGGCCGTTATCGAATCGGTGAGGATGGGGAGGAGAACGACGAGTAGGGGGACAGGGATTGGCGGGACGAGGAGGAAGAAGAAGAAGTGGGGGAGGAGGAGGCCGTGGGGATGGAGAAGGACGAGGAGGAAGCCGAAGAGGATGATGGCGATGAAGAAGGAGGAGGAGGAGGAGGAGGCCCTGACGATGGAGGAGAAGGAGGAGGAGGACAAAGAAGAAGAGGAGGAGGAGAAGGACAAGGAGTAAGAGGAGAAGAACGACGAGGAGGAGTATGAGGAGGATGAAGAAAAAGGAGGAGGAGGAAGAAGAGGTGGAGGAAGAGGAGACCGTGGCGACAGAGGGGAAAGAGGGAGAGAAGGAGGAAGAAGAAGACGAAGAGGAGGAGGAGGAGGCAAAGGAGGAAGAAGAAGAAGAGGAGGAGGAGGAGGAGGAGGAGGCGAAGGACGACAAGGAGGAGGAGGAGGAGGACGAAGATAAAGAGGAGTAGGAAAGGGACGAGGAGGAGGAGGAGGAGGAGGAGGAGGAGGCGAAGGACGGCAAGGAGAAGGAGGAGGAGGAGGATGAAGATAAAGAGGAGTAGGAAAGGGACGAGGAGGAGGAGGAGGAGGAGGAGGAGGACAACTGGGATGGGGCTGAAGTGATTGGCCATGGCGATGGAGGAGGCCCCGACGATGGAGGAGTAGGAGGAGGAGGAGGAGGAGGAGGCGGAGGAGGAGTGGGAGGAGGTGGAGGAGGAGGAGGCCATGGTGATGGAGGAGGAGGAGGCCACGGCGATGGAGGAGGAGGATGGAG